TTTCAAAGAAGCTGTTAAGAAAGAGCACTGTTAGTCCTCACTAAACTATTCCAAAAGCCTTTAAGACCTGCCTCTCTCTGAAAAAGATTGTGGGGTTCCTAACTGGTCTCATTTTCTGATAGAAAACTGACCCTTGTTAATCACTGTTGAAGAAAAAATAACACTTTTTGGTTTATAGGAAAAATAAGATTGCCAACTTGGAAACTAATTATTACTATTATTATTAATAAAAATAATTAATGTTGTTACCAGGAGAATCAAGGAACACAGTGGAAACAATAATGAAATCCTTTCACCTCTATGTAGTGATAATCTTACTGTGCTAAACCAAATGGTGAGAGTTTCATCAAGTAAAAAAAGTATTTGCTCCATATATTTTAAGATTCATAAGTTTGTTTCAGAAATGTTATCTTGGCAGGACTAAGAGAAGTATTGTAATTGTGTTAAGAGAACAGAAAATACTTAAGATGATAACAGGCAAGACGCAATGAAGGCTTGCTGGAATCGTACAGATATCTGCTAAAACTAAAGAATATCTATCAGCCCAGCCGCTATCAGAGCTGTTTAATCCTGCTCAGAGCAACTGGGGGCCTATCTCAGAAGCACAGGGCCTACCCTGGGTCTCCACCACAGACCAGCTTGTGACAGGACTAATTTAGAAACATCATCTAGCCCTGTGTTTCAGAGGAGAGCAGAAAGCGGAGCATCTGGGAAAATCCCATGCATATTGGGGAAAACATACGAACTCTGATAAACTACTAGAACAATAAGGAACATCCCTACCAGAAAATAGTTCAATAATCTATGTTGCATCTGTCTAAAACCACAAACAATAGCACTGATACCCTCTAAAGCAGTGGTTCCCTTAATATTCTCGCATGCCTAATCTAAAATCATTGAAGTAGACCTGTTTATAAAACCTAGAATATACTTTTAAAAATACTAAGTTTGATGAAACAAAGTAGCTTTGTTTGTGTGTCCGTGCTTGGTCTGTGGTTTTGATAATTCACCTTCTGAAAAAGTCTCGCACCCCCAGAAAGGGAATCTCGAACCCTGGGAGGTGTGTGCACCCCAGCCTATGAACCCCTGCTCACTGAGGTCAAAGAGCAGGTGGACATGGAAAGCTCACATGTGCTTTACCCATAATATTCTTTTCAGTAGTTTTTAAATTACACACACTGTATCGGGCTATTTATTTCTGGCTCAGTTTGCAGATACATTTTAAAAAAATAAAAATAACTTGCTTCACTAAGAGGTGTAGAAAAACTTTTCCATGGCTCAAACCCAGAAGTATTATCAGAGAGGGTATGGGATGAAGGCACCGTGCAAGCCATTTCTCCCCCCCCATTAAAATAAACTTTAAATCAACAAGAAACCAATTAAAATATGGAGACATTTGTAACAATTTGAAGTTTCATTCACACCCGACGTTTAAAAAAAAAAAACTCCACTTTTAATGTGTCCATGTACAAAGCAAACAATCGTGGAGCTGCCCAAGTGGTGCAGAGAAATGAAGGTTGCAATGGCATGTTTGTTAAAGACAAAATATATCTCTTCAACCACAAACCCACCAAAACAATAGAGCTGTAATTACAACATAAAAATGCCCCATCAGCACGAAGCCTCTGCAGCAGCCCACAGACAGTGGTGATAAATGATGTGTGCGAATCTTATCACAGTTTAATGATGGTACACTGTGTGCTTCCCCCCGGCATTGTCTCCTCTGACTCCACAACAGGAAGTTGCCTGCTGAGTAGACCCACATTTTAATGTTCCATAAAACTCAGGAAAATATAGGAACTCATCACCTCCCCCCCTTCAACCCCTTTCCCACCCCACCCCACGAGCTCCAAAGTAAAACTGTCTCTGGCAGTGGGAAACCTGTCACCACAGATTATCCATGTGGTGTTTGGCACCAAACCCCCCCAGGGATGAACATGAAGATCCTGTCTTTTCCAACTCACTGTTTTAACTGGCAAGGCTTTGTCCTATAGCCCTAACTCTCAAGCTCTTCACCCTACCTGACAAATACATAGATTTGTGTTAATAAACATATAGTATCAAACTATCAGGCACTAAAATGACCATCAACATTAGTTCCAATGCTAACAGGTGCATTTGCAATGGTAATGTAAAATAATGATCATGATAATGCAAAAAAAGAAATTGTGTATCATCATTTTTAAAGTATTTTAAACAAAGATCCCATTGAAAATCACAGAAAAACTGAACAAAAATATACATCACAGAACCCATTAAAATTTCCCTGATATGAAATGCGATACCCTGCAAAACTGTGATCATGTGTCCTGCTTTCTGGGAGCATGAACACAATCCTGGCAACATCAGTGCACTTACAGGTGTGTGGAAAGGCAGCTGTGAGGTGTTCTACCACTCTTCCTGCACAGCTGCAGCTAGCTGGCGAAGGCAGACGCAGATGCGTCCTCTCTGGGTGATGGCACTGATGAGCTGGTCCCACAGCTCTGGTCAGAAGAAAAGCTGGCACAACCTGGACATTGCTCTCCTGAAGTTACGCCACTGTGATTGTGCAACTGTGTGGACCTGCACACTGTCCTGCTGGGAAAACCGACACTTTAGGATCAGTTTGGACAAACAGAAAACCTGTTGGCTCAAAGTCTTCGTCAATGCATTCCTGAACAACATCTCGATCTGCACCAATGGTGTTCTTGTACTAAAGGAGACTCCATCCCAGTTTCACTGCCTTAACATTCTACCACTCTCTTAGCATGGAGACACAAAGCTTAGGTCTTGATTAATTCACGTTACAGTTCTTTGAACAAAGAAGAGGGTATTCCGACCATAGTTGGTATGGTAAAGCCTGAACATGCTACAGCAGTAAAGGAAACAAGCAGAGCGAACGATAATGCATACTTTGGTATTTATCAAAACCCTCCTGAAAATCATTGTAAATGATTATTTTTCTAATTAAAAGCAGCAGCCACTAAAGTAAGCACACATTTAGATTGAAAGATGGTTTTTGGAGAGAAATCAGAGAGTACAGACAAGGCATGGTGTAGATTACCACAGAGATCTCTAATGACCACTGCTTTTACTCACTGTGTACCTAGAACCTAGATTCTGGTATAGTTAACTAGTCAAGTTCATAGAGGATACTACCTATTATAAGTAGGCTATTATAAGTATAGCATTAGAAATTCAAAATGACCTCCAAGTACATTTGAGCAGTTTTAACCCAAATGAAACACCAAACACTGAGTACATGGTGTTCTTATGAAATTAAGATTATTTGAGCACAGCATTTAGCTGCTAGTACCAAATCAACAAATCTATATGCTTTCTGGTTAAAATAAAAATGGTATTATACGCTATATGTAGCCTGTTGAGCTAGTCAAATAAAACCCGAGACTTTTCAATGTGCTTCAGGAAATGCATCTGCACTTCTAAGATTTAAAGTTACAATCGATCGCATTCCACCTAATTTTAAAACTAGTTCTAAGTAAGGCATTCTACTCCTCAAACTGGTAATTACTGTTCTAGAGCTCACACAGCAGTTCTTGGAAAAGAAGAAAGGCTCAAGTCTAAAAGAGTCCACAATGTCAGGCAGTTACCGGATGGCATACTGACCAACTTTAATTACATAGCCCTCAAAACATATTTATATTTTCTTAGAGTGCTGATTCAAATGCCACAAGAAGTGATTGTCATTGTGCGATGTTGTTCCGTCCTGGAACAACCACAGTTTTCTTGCACACACACGCTCCACAAAAGTTTGTTCCCTCATGTGGACACACTACTCATTTTTATACAATCTTTAAATTTCATATTAGCCTGACTATGCAGATTTAGGAGAAGAAAATGGAGGCAGGAATTCAGAGCGCAGGACTGTGTGCACACCAATGTCATGTGATCAGAAATGGAAGCTGGAAGGACAGTGTCTCTCCAGGATAAAAAGCAAACTGGGTTTCCAAGGGGGTGTAAAAACACGTCTCGAGGGTCGAACGGAAATGACCGCGCACTGAGAGGTAGAGACACAAACCCAAACATGGAGGCGAAGCAAGCGATCCTGCAGCAAGAAGGTTAGCTGTCAGAACAGTACAAATGTACATGTGACACCAGAACATGTGCATCCTGTGGATTCCACACAAGGTAATTTGTGTCTTTTGGCCCTGACTAACGCAAACCATCATTTGCAATCAGGGAAACCCTGAAGAACTCACTCACTGATTTCTTCCCTTAGAGCAGATGCCAGTTCAAGATTAGAACGCTCCCAGAAGCATTTCACTGTGACAACAGGTTCTCCACACCAGCCAAGTTTGAAATAGCAAGACAAGGTGTCTGAATATTCTTGCAATAAATTTGCTAAGCCTAATTTCAATACGGGCAGACTGGCCAGTATCCTTTTTGGAAACCATAATACTTTAAAACTCCTACAAAAGGGCTAAGATAGACTAAAGTACATTTGAGTTATTATTTGTAAGTTAGGTTAAATGCAAGTGTGGCGAGACTGAATACTAAAAATGAAACAGGTCAATTTTTGGCAACCTAGATCTCAGTCTGAATGAACAGTGCACTTGGGATTGACCACATCCTTCTCGGCAACTAAACTTAAACTACCATGTGCCATTCGTTCTTTTCTTGATTGCTGACTAGCTTTTTCAGGATCCTGTATAATCATCTCCTGCTCTCAAAGTGCCTCTGGCAGCAAAGGAAGAGGGAATCCATAGCCAAAAAGTAGCATTTTAGTTCTTGACACCTTGATTGTACAAACACACCAAATGATCAAGTAAGTCTTGAAGGTGTGGAGATGTCCTAACCAGTCATTCTAAAAGCGCTGTGAGCTTTTTCCAGATACACTGGTCTTCAAAAGGTGAAGGCTTCCTGGTGTCTAACTGAACTAATCACTTGTTCCAGGAGTACCTGTAAGGACTTGGTAGAAGTAATTCTTGCACTGATATATTTTCTAAAACATTTTTTGCAGGCGCAAGAGACCACAACCCAAAAAGGAAGACAAACGATACTTAAACGTTAAAAAATATCTTTATTTGAAACATTGTCCATGGGCTTTTCACAAACTGGGTCGGCAGTTTAGACACAAAAATACATATTTTTCCTCCTTTAGAATCACTTTAACTCAACCATGCGGCATACGTAATTACACTACTATGAAATATTTTACATTTGCAACAACACCGTATTAACACACTCCACTTTTTTCACAGTTTTATTGCCTGTAACTAAGTCTCTATGGAGGTTTTCTACTGCACCCACTGATTTCCATGGGCTGCCACAAGACTCCACAAGTACAAAAACCAATATCCACATATTGGACACACATTTCAAAAGAAAAAAAAATATATAAATGAAATACTTTACTTTCATCATATCACCCACCATTACCTGATGTGAATAGGTATAGCACATGTGCGAGTTAACATAAATGCTTATTTAAATACAACAAAACATGACCCGAATATACTCAAAAATAAAGTGCCACGTTCACAAATATAATACTTCATCTACATAATTCAACCATCTGCCAGTACATGGAGAATGTTAACACATAGGAAAGGCAGTTACAGACATATATACAATTTTACCACTTAAATACATGTTTGAAAGATCAAACATGTCTCTCTGAAGGGAAATGAAATGTGCTTTTCATCTGTAGAAATCTGTACTTTCTAATGAGAAACTAACAACAGTATCTGAATTAGTACAAATTTTTAAAATAGCCTTTTTGGGAGTTACTTGACAGTTCATTATCTATGCTTTTTCCTCCCAAGCATGAACCTTAGGTCCTGCCAGAGAATCAGATGACCTGATCAGACCTTTTCCACAAGCTGAACTAATCCTTCACCTATGGTGGACCAGAGAAATTCTGTGGTACTGTACCGATCGCCTAGGTGTACCAAGCCGACACTCAACATTCGACAAAGAATGCTTCGTTTTGAGGGACACAAAAAAGGGCCACAGGTGAGTCTCAGAAAAGTGATATAATGTACTAATAACACAAGCTAAAACAGGAGCAACCATTACAAACCCCTGCCTGCGGACAGATCAAGAATTCTTAAACACACATTTTGTAATGGAACACTATCGCCCCTCTTATGAACTCTGGTGCAAATAGATAAATGTAACAGATCTCATTCTGGAGCCTTTTATATTACCATAGTCCTGGAGGACACTTAATAGCACTAAATCGTTCCCCAAACAGAGGGCCCGCTTCTTGGCCTAGTACTGTTAAAAGGGCCATGTGTGCAAATTCGAGACAGGAACACAATCCCATCAGGGACACTAGCTTCACACACCACACAAGCTACCTCCTGGTCCGATTCTCCACACAGCATACAGCACTGCCCATCTGAAAAGCATTTAAATCTCTTAGGATTTCTCTTAAGGAGGCTACTGAGCAAGAGAGGAAAAAGCTGATTAGATCAGTGTTTTTAAGCAGAACCAAGTTCATTAATCACACAGCCAAAATATGCATCTAATACAGAGAAGTTTAGAGATTTCTTATTAGATCCATTCTGGTGTTAAAAAAAAGCTGTTGATAATGTATCTGAAAAGGGATGAATAGTTTATATGGATTTATATAGTGTAATATTTTAAAAATAAAAATGCCACTAGAACACAAGACACAAATGTAGTCTCCCATTTATGGACATAATGGGGCAGGCCTGTATAAAGTCTGACAAAAAATGAAATACAGGAACTATATTTAATATTTCTTTTCTTCAGTAGAAAAAAATGTTGGTCATGACTTGCCCTAGAAATTAGGACTGTAGTGACCAATCTTACTATTGCAGAAAGACATTTTTAAATGTCTCTCACAATAATTCCTCTACAGAGCACAGGGCTACAGAGCATGATCTATTAATTCCAACCTTTGACTGAGTTCATATCCTTATGCAGACTGAATATTTAAGAAACGAAACATACAAAACAGTTTTTTTTTCTTCATCTTAAAATCTCACTTGGCATCAACTCATTTTTTAGATATAAAAACCTTTCACTTAGAATCTGAGGGCACGTCAATGAATGGACATTAAAACCCATTTCAATAATAAAGGAGCTGCACTGCTAAACCGAAACATGCAGATTAAAAAGAAACAAAACAGCTGCATCTCCCACTCCTTAATATCGGCTGAGGCTGAGGTGATTTTCTCATATCTAGCTTTGGAAATATCACATACTCAAAGTATGAAGAGAGCTGCTAAACAAAACAATGAGAACCTACAGAAAATTCCCCACAAGAGGAAAAAGTCCAAAGCCAACTGTTTGAGGGAGGAAATGAAAATGACAGTGCACCATTGCCACCTGGTGGCTGTGACTGCACACTCAGATTCTTCTGTAGCTCAATGTACTTCCTTGTTTTTGTCATTTGAACATTTCATTAAAGCCTCTCTGGCAATTTCTCACATATGATAAAACGTGCAGATCCCATGATAAATGGAAATCCTGTTGCTCCATCACAAATGGAGTGATGTTGCTAGGAGCAATCCATCCGAACAGGACCAGAGAGCACCTCTAAAGAATTTTTACGTCACCACATTCTTTGCTATGGTAAATCAACCCCTTGTCCATTGCTTGCAACAGATGATACATCACTGATACATCAAAAAATGGCTTGCGATAAACGTGCCTTTTAGGATGTCTGAGATAAGACACAGTAACTGTCCTGCCCACAGGGTGAGCACTTCAGTTTGAGCTATGGTCTTAAACAAAACAAGATGACTCCACAAATCTAGTCAAATTAATGATCAAGTGCCACATTCTCAAAGCAACTAATCAGAAAGGCTGTGTTAAATGTAATAAGTCATTTCAGCATCTCAGACAGTGTCATAACAACGAACAGCTCCTACATGCATTCTTTGTAGTCTACATTACTTCAAAGTTAATGCAATGTGAAACCGACATTGCCAAAGGCCTCCTGTCTGTCACAAACCAATGCAGAGGAACATCTTGAGCAAACTTTGAGCAGATTATCAAGTATCTGTTTAGGCAGAGATCAATGCAGCATCCCATAAATCTGACCCTGAAGTAACTCTATGGGATATGATTAGAAGTCATATTTTCTACTGACATTCCATTTTTATCATTAAATCTACCACTATACTATACCAATACTGTTAGTATTACTGTGGCAGGAATTCTAACCTACCTGCTAATAGAGCATGCTTTAATAACTATTAACCTTTGACCTACACTGACATACAGAGCATTAATTGGCAACTCCACTTCTCAAATTCTTCAGCTCTTGAAGCTTTAAACCCTGGTCTTTGTGAACACCCATCTCTGCTGGCTTTCCCTCTAACTGTGTTGGTCATCACTGGTGCTAACTGACGCCCTTAATTGATCTGATTGTTTAGACTTTTGGTTATCAGTTTCTGTATTCGGACATACAACGTACTTCTAGTTAACTGTTCCACCAACCTTAGCATAAAAAAAAACTTTATGCTGCCCCTCCTCAGCTTTTGAAATGCTTGCTTCCATATTGCTGTCAAAACAGTTCTGAACAGGTGACCGATTCACGATGAGCAGCTGGGAATGGTAAGAGATGAGACATGATCACAGGTGTCTTCCCCTTCTTTACCAGAAGGGTTGGTATGATTACCACACATCTAAATAAGGGCAATTCTCAAACTCGGAAATCAGTACAGGGCTGATACCAGTTACAATCCCCTTCAACATTTTAAAAGCCAAAAGCAATTAGAACCAAACAGTCAGAGAGTAAAAATAAATAAAAACATCTATGGTTTCTTAGGAGCAGGAGTGGGAATCACTGTTTAAGAGGTATCAATCAACACCTAAATCATCTGTTTTCAAGATCTTCATTAATTTTTAAATTAATTAAACGCGAGGCATTAAGTCATTAAGAGTCGAGATGGAAAGAACAGTACAAGTGCAGGACATACAGTACTGTATAGACTGGAGTTGCAATCCTCAGCTATATGCTACACTGAACACAATTACTGCCTGCTTCAGGGGTTTTCAGCCTTGCTGCTGGAGAAACCCAATCCACCAGGTTTCTATGAAAACTCTCAACCTTCAGTCCCTAGTGATCTGGGACAATTTTACTATGCTCTATTGAACAGTTAATTTGTGAAGTAGATCAAAGATAATTTGGAACAAAATACAGAATACCCTTCTGCTGTAAAAGATTTCCCTTACCTGAAGAAATTACTTGCTTAATTCATCAGCATCTTATAAAGGGTATGTTTCAAGTTTTTTTCCCCCAAAAACACAAGGAGCACTGAACAAATAAAATTAGGTTTTTGCTAGATCCTGGTTTTCCCAAGTTCTAGATTTTTTTTCCTGGGATGATGTGGTAACAATGGAGGTATTCTGATTTTAAAGAGCATCACAGAAACTGAGAATGCATCAGGGCAGAAATGAAGCAAGGCAAAAATGGAAATACAGAAGTTCCCTTTTATAGATCTAAAACAGTCTCTTCATTGGTAGAGTCACTTCCTGCACTATTCACAAGACCCTACATCACAGTTGTGTCTGCTTAATAACTATACGAGTAACTATGACATTTTCTTCATGATCTCCATTTGGAAAATAGAAAACTAAACAGATTTCACCAGGCAAGACAGAGATGTCAGCTGGTTACTTCATCCTGTACATTTCTGAAACGAAGCCGACATGCTGCTCGGCGCCTCGTTAGCCTGGGGTGATGACACAGCTTGTTGTATACACTGCACAGGTGACTGGGTAACACACTGCATGCAGGAGGGAAGGCATGCGTGCAGTTTCCACGGTTGCATGTTGGGAGCTAACTTACAACAGTGGGGAAATGGTGCACACAGGCAAGGGATCTGTACAGATTTTTCAGAATGAACACTTTGCAGGATCTATAGCTGCAATATTTGCTAGGCATGCACGAGGGACATCACTAGCCTCCGAATTCCCTTCCACAAGTTCAGCATTCTACTCCACTGCCATCTGTTCAATGTGATCGCTGAGCAGCTTGTATTGTTCTGAAAGGGAGAACACACAACATTTCTTAAAAAGGGTTATATAATTGACAGACTGCCCGTTTATAGTTTATCCAGACTGAATTCTCACCAAGTTTTTTTAAGACTGTCAATTAGCCTGCCGCCGAGGCTGAATTTCATTCATTGTAAGGGTTGCATGTACCATTACGATTCACACAGGAAGGCAGAGGATCAAACACTAGTACTTTAAATGTTATCCCCATCCTTTTCCTACCCCGGAGGCAGGCAACTTAAAAAACACAGGATTTGCATAGAGAGTGGGAAGAGCAGTCAGGTGTACCCAGACCCCACGTTCACTGAATAAAATGAACGATTCGTGCGTGGAGTTCACAGCCGGTTTCTCACCAGCTTCAGAAATAAGACCGACACAAAAAGCTTTTCAGATTTGACCATAGTTTTTCTGGGACTAAGGCTGGTGTGTATTTGAAGAGATCTCATTAATCCTTTGGTTGTAGTTTGTGCTTGTTTTTAAAACTGCCAGTTATTTTATTATATTCTACACTCAGCTGGATCACCAATAGTTTAAGACAGGAGTTTAAGACAGTGGCCCCTGTATGCGAAGATAAGGATGCACAGACACCAGGGCCAATTTTCTTAGAAGCCAATTAACCTCACTTAATTATACAGTATGTACAGCATCTGGAACATGGAAGGAATCTGGAGCACCCAGAGGAAACCCATATAAACACGAGGAGAACATAAAAACTCCACACAGTTCACACCCCAGGAATTGAGCCCAGAGCACAAGGCACCTCATGCTGCCCCCTTCTGTTAATGTTATTTGCAGTACTCAGATGTACTTAACCAGACAATGCACATAACCGAATAAAACATAATGCTTTCATTTACTGTTAAATATAACATATAAATAAATGGAAATTAATACATAAAGAATCAAATAGGTGACATAAATATAATTGGTATTCAACAGAATATTGATCTTGAGGAGATATTTCATCATATAAAAGTTATCAAATTAAACTAAAGCTGGGTTTAGGTTTAAGGTGAACAGCCATTTTACTTGGCCCACAATTTCTTATTGAAGCTTTAATATTAAAAATTATTTTGAAAGAATATAAATGGAAATTATGGGGAAGTGCTTTTAAAAATGAGAAAAGGTTTCATTACACAAAGAGTTGCAAACATACTGAACAAGCAACACATTCATGTTATTAAAGTCTATACTGTGGTTTCTTTCTAAAAATGTCTGCGAAAGTTCCTTAGACCAAGCCAAATGGGCTGATGGCCTGCTCTCATTTGTGAACTTATGGCTACACAACTAAAACACTACTGAATTCACTACACTAACTTTCTAACCTTTTAACCTCATCATGTGTTAAAGAGTCATTATTAGCTTTTTGAATTATGGCAGTTTAATGTGGCTTTGAACCCTTTTTTTGTTGATCCAGATAGAGCAAATGAACCACGATATATCTACCTTCATTCAGATTGCCAATAACAGCCTGTTTCTTCAGAAAGTCATTGCACAGCTTCTTGCTCAGTCCAAAGGCCAGCATGTTATGGGTAAATGTTCTATAAGCAAACAAAGAGATGTATTAGGATTCAAGCCTTCTTTAGATGCCATGTGAAACATCCAGTAAATAGGCATCAGTAAAAGAACAGGACAAATCTAGCAAATTGGCAAGTGGTGGTCTCCAGCAATTCCTTACCTAGAAACAGAAATAAATGAACTCACCCCAGTTGCCCAAATGTGATATTTTCATTAAACCGCAGGCTGTCATCTTTCTCCTCCTGGGTCATGTGACACCACTTCTCCCTGAAAGTTTTTTTTTAAAAGACCAGGTTACAGGTTTTACCATGTTACAACACTTCCTTACAGAAACCCCTTCTCACTATAATGATTTCATTCTTTCTCACGAATTAACACGAAACAACCAGCAGGTATTTCTGGGGGTCAGCATGCCATAAAGGTAGCATGATCAAACAGCATGAATCAAACACCATTCAATTCAATTACAGACCAAGACCCAAGGCGCCATTTCTTCTTTCTAGATTTAAAAAAATGTTTTATAAATGCTGTTGAACTTTAAACCCAAAATCATATTTCACTAAACCTACACAAAGCCACATATCCAATAATTAGATGCCCTTGTACATTCTACTGACATCCAATGGGATTTAAATACCACTAATCCTGCAATTTTCAACCCATTTGCAAGCTGGAGCAAAGCATACATTTGAAGTTGCCCCAAAGCATTTCAAAAGTAATACTAAACCACAACTAAAAATGCAAAAGCAGACCTGTCTAATTCAGACAAGCAGACAAGTCGGGTAAATTTAGACACTCTCAATGATTAATGGGGAGTGGGTGTCTGATCTGACATCAGCAGAGTGACACACAGGTCCACTGACATCTACGTACACCAAGTGGAACGCTGAAGCTGTAATTGCCCGTGAAAGAGAACGGGCTTTATATTAGAGTCATTCTGTTCATTAGGGCACTTTGTTCCTTTCCTTTTCTGCTCCAAAGTAACAAAGTTCACTTTTCATTAAAATAAATGTTTCTTTTGAATTATGATAGATGAGGATACAGATCCACTAAGCAATGATCTTTCAGGACTTCTTACAGGTGAAGGCTGACTAAGAAAATGAATCACAATTTCAAAAAGCAAAAAAAAAAAAACAAGTCAAAGCTGTGACAAAAAAGTGCAAAAAGAACACAGACAAAACAAAAACAAAGAAAATACAGTATGTATATGAATGTGGCTTTCAGATGGATACATTTTCTTCAATTAGAGCTGTCATAACCATGGAAGAGCAATTCTGCATTAAGAAGGGTGAGCACACCAGAGAGCAGCAGGAAATGTCTTGTTTTCCCGCATACTTGTGTGCATGAGAAAGCACTAAATTAACCTAGTTAAAACATATTACTTTGAACACTAAGAGACATCCAGATTAAAGAATGTGATTATTAATGATGTTGTGCAAGCCTATAGTGACAATAATAATTGTTAAGTGTACCTATGAATGCAAAAATAAAAAAGACATATAAAGAAATCATTTAAAGAGATAAACAGATCTCCAACAAGCAGAATGTCCTTGGAGATCTGAAATGGCAAGCGTGACAGAAAATGAAGTCTCTGAATGTATACGGGGTTCATCCTTATCTGTTCTCTTACAGGAAGGCTTCCTACAGGCTCAAGTGGCAGGTTGGCCTTCTCTAGCTTTATCTACAATCCTATGAAAAAAATCATCCCAACAGTGCAAAGAATCTGTTTTACAACTGATCGCATGACCCCATTGTCTCCCCCCCACAGGGTCTGTTTCCAAGACAGTCGATATGACTGCATGGGCAGGCAGAAGCATAAAACCCACAGCTTTGCCACTGACACTACAAGTGCAAGCGAACTGTTTGAATTAATTTTTTTTTTTTACATTTGTGTCAATAAGTAAACACTGGTTCAGTTTTTTAAAGATTGAATTTTATACGGTTATATACCAACAAAACAAGGAAAAAGATTCTGAGAACTACTAGCAAAGCGAAAAGCAAGACACTACTACAATGTGCAGAGAGAATGAGACAGACACACCTCTCTTCTTTATCCTCCCCAGCAGTTCTCCTGCAGAGGCAGCAGGGCACAGGGAAACAAAGGGTTAAAGATGCATGCAAAGTGTGATGCAGAAACTAGAAGAAGAAGAAGCTGATGACAAACAGAGCATGTAAGAACAGCATTGTCACACTGTATACTAGGTGAGCGTCCCCTATTACCAGCACATAGAGGGTGCAGAAACCAAGAGATTCGAGCCTGAGGTGTCCAGTTAGTCAAGCCAAGCTTCAATACAATGAGGATTATTGTTGTAGTTCAAAGAGGATATGGCCCTCCACAGTTTATATACACTTTTCTCTACACCCCCCCACCCTCTCCTGTCTTTGAGGTACCTTCTCAAGAAACTCAAGGACTCAGAGAGCAATTAAAACATTCCTTCCTTATCAGGGAGTTTGGTACAGAGAGGGAGAAGCATCTGTGCTACAGCAAGCGTGAAGGTTAGAGTTTAGCAAGTAAATTCAGCAGTTGTTCACAGCTCCTACCACTATATGGGTACAGAGTAACATACAGATTCTGCTAACAGACTCCATCAAGGGTAAGCTGTATGAGTAGTGCACTGGAATTGCAGTACAAAGGATAGTAAAATAAATATCTTGCGTTTTACATTTCTTTTATAGAGAGGAAATGGTGGCTTCTGAAATGTGTAACACTACTTTGCTGCCATGTGCAACCAATTATATGCCATATTAGGTCAGTATATCTGTATTTCTTTTCAAATGTGACAACATGCATTTCTATTTCAAGAACAAGATGGACCTCATCTCACTCTAGTCTACCAGCGCTTTATGGAGTGCCCTTGTCTTTGCTACAGGGGTCGTAGCCTGACATGCCCCTGTCGTATGTGCAGTTTGCTCCCGCTGGGATTTGTTTTCAAATGTCCTCCCAGTATGGGGATTCCCGATCTCCACAAACAGCATCACTGTAATTCTCATCTTACACACTACAAGATCTGTTACAGCCCCACGGTGCCATGTGTCCTCTTCCAAAACAAAACTACAGGATCTGTTCTCTCTGTTTTTGTATTATTTGTTATCTAACTGATATCACACCACATGTGACACGAAGTTACACTGAATACAAAAGCCAAAGCACCTATTTTATTTTTCAAAGTGCACTTCTGGAAGTGGTTCAAGGGCACATTGTAACCCTCGATACTGAGAACTGTCACTTGCAAGAGGATTCGTTGGAACCAGTGACAGATGACAAACATTTCCTGCCCAGAAACACGACAGGAAATTAAATTTTGGTAGAAAAATAACAGGTATGTTACTCATACAATTCTAGTGACGTGCGACAGTGTTACCTATTTAAACAGCTAAGGTCTGTCAATTTACTCATAGTTTGTTTTTCAGTTACAGACATTCTCATGTGCCAGAAACACAGATACTATTTAATGTCTTGGCAAATATTACTGAACTAAATTACGATTAACATCTGTGAGTCAGTCACACAGGGGCCTGCCCAATTTTAGGAGTCATTAAATTAGTAAACAGATGTTAATTAAAAAAGCTTTTTATGGCAAGTGCCCCTAACCTTGAACACAGAAGTATCAGCGATGTTTTAGGAGGAGACATTCCATCACTTCTGTAATTTTGTAGCAGTTTAGAAAGGTAAAAGTTGATAAAGACTTTAAAAAACAAACATTACTTTCCCTCTTTAATTGTTATGCTATATGACATAACCCAAAGCAATCAGAATGCTGTCAGATGCTTTATACCTATTCTGTATTAATATTAGCCTCCCTACATCTCCCACTTGGAATATGGTTGTCTATTGTAATATGTCTGAAGGCTTCTAGATACTTCAGTACTGGATTATTCAGTCCAGCCCCTGAAAGCCCCTGTCTAGCAGGTATTACACTATATGTAAAAATTAAAAAAATAATTTCCCATTTGCCCTTAACACCTTAATAGCAATCAGTTGTAGGTGATATGGTAAATGAAGTTTAGAAATCCTCAATACAAATCTAGGCCAGAGGACTTCAATCAAACACATTATTTGTTAAATTAATTAATAATTAATGAGCGATCTCAGTCTTCAGAAAGAGATGATATGGGGGGAATGTAAGACAGGATTGGGGCTCTCCAGGGCTGGGGGTGGAGACCAAGGTTTTAGTACAACAGGTGATTTTCACCAACTCCAATGACCACAAACCTCATTCACCTACCTGGTGCATAAAATGCACCTTAACAGTACTACTGCATTTCCTCATTCCATGGGACAGGAGGAGGGGACCAGGGACGAACCAGCTCGTGTCCCTTTTTGCCAGTGCTCTCCCCGATAGTCCGATATGCCACTTACCTTGTGGTGGGTGATCTCTTCCTCCTCTCGCAGTGCACTGCGTCGAAAAACGCCGCATTCCAGAACCGCAGGGTATGCCTGAGACCAACAGGACAGAAAGGCTTTCCTTCACTTGCACACAATGAATAAAACCACATTCACATGGCCTCATAGCATGCAAAATGCCTTGGATTAAACAGAAATGCCACAATCCAATTCAAACACAAGGGTGCAGCAAAAACCCATATAAAACCAAATATTAAATTAGTTTACAAATGAGCTTGGTTGCTATAGCAAATTGATGCTAGCTGTTCCCTGAAAGAATCTAGAATCTAATTTTCTGGGCAGCTTGTTCCAGACTCCTTCAACTGTTCTTGTAAAGAAATGCTTCCTGTTCTCAGTTTTAAATGCCTTTCCCTTCAATCTTCAGTCGTGTCTTCTGGTTTGTTTTCTCCTCTTAGTTTTGGAGAAGTCCCAAAAGTAGGACAGGTCTACAGTACACATATCTAACAATAAGGTAAAAGAGTGTTCAGAGATGAGGTGTTTATAAAGTTAGATGGCATATTCAAGTATCTGTTGAGCAATCCAATATGGAAAATATACAAAATGAAGATCATGAGGACCAGCAGCCCCTCGGACAGTGGCAATACACACTGGAGGATGCTATATTTCATCCAGCAGTCCCATGAACAATAAGAGCAGACACCAGACAGTGCAATACTGGGTTAAAGGGACCACTACACGCGTGTAAGACCACGATGAATTGCATGTGGAAATGAGTGACGTGCTCTCGTTTTCAGTTGTACCTTACACACCGATTTTCTATGTACAGTAGGAGGCATTTCTGTAAATGACTTCATCGTAGTACCATAAGCCCTGTATAGTACACAGTTGTTTTAATGGAAAGTGCCCGGCTCTTCAATGGCAGAAAACAGGGTTGAAAATAACCGGATGCAGGAAAATGTTGGTCGACTTGTCTGAATAACCCAAATGACTTTGAAAGCGCTGTACTATACGTGGCTGCGCTAATGGTATATCATGCAATTAAAAGACAGTCAGACTATGCATATAAAGGTTGAAATAATTTTCTTGTGCTTGTTCCCGTCTTAATTAAATGCCTTTACACTAATAAGAGCAGAGAAAAAGCAGCGTCAGTAAGAACTGTTAGGCCTGAAAGAGCAATGTTGCACCTACCAGATGGGCTGTTGTTTTAAATGGGTGTACAGGTAGATCTTCTCCCCCTTCTTTTCTTCAGGAGACTCAAAGACCACTATGGAGATGAGTCATAAAAACATTACTGTCACTCTAACGATGAAGGACAGCTGAATTGAATAAGTAATAGGACAGTCTTTACGCCAGTTTACAAGCAAGTCATGAATTCAGTCTATTTTGACTTAGCCCTTCTTCAATTCATGTTGCCATGAATATTTCAAAGCATCTGTTTTTTGAAAAATGCTGCGAGTGTCTAAAAATCAGGTTTGAAAGAGTGCTTGTGGCCGACCTCTCCGAGATTCCACAAGGGCAACAGAGGAGGGCAGGTTGATCAGTTTAAGTGACGAACACTCTTGGTCTCTCTCTCCAAGGTCTTTCCAGTGTTAGTGGGTTAACTTCCCCGGCAGGCAGCTTCCTTTGTCCTGCTTTAGTGCAGCAGCAGCTTCTCCCATCTCTCAGGGGCTGAACAAGGCAGGGGGCTGAACGATCGTGTTCCTTGGCCAAAACGGGTACTTCGTGGTTTTGAAATCTGCCAAAAACCCCATTAGACTTTCTGCCACCCACACAGACAGTGGGCACTAGTCCCGATGAACTGAATACCAAAAAATCAACATGGTAGGTTAAAGAAGTAACACTTGTTTCTACTTTTTGACAATTCAATTTTTCTATTCCTATTGTGTAGGAGGGCTGTAGCGCAAGCAGTTTATTGCCTCCTCCTGAATTTTCCTCACTGGCTGCATGGCTTTCTGAGGACCTGACCTGCCTGCCGCGTCCTTGATGTGTTTGTCTTATTCCGATTTGTTACTGGGATCTTGGCATCTGTCTGTCTCATCGCCTCCAGTGCCTTCCGCTTGCCAGCCCTTGGCCACAAGCTCAGCTGACACTCGAACCCACAAAGACAAAAGACGAAATTCTCACATACCCATCTTTTTCGGCTTCCCATGAGTTTTAGCCTCTGCATCTCTGTGAAAGAAAATGTTAAGAAAAAAAAGCGTAAGTTGGGGGGAAAAAAAGAGTAGGCAGCCAAGAATACAGGTTTCTCGAGATGGAAATGTGCATCTGCCACAGAGACAGATTTTCTTGCTGTCGTCATCCTTTTTTTTGCATTGCCCTTGTCAGCATTCTTCCAACAAGAATTCTTTTTGCCCTGTATAAAACACAAGCATTACAACTGCACAGTCAATGCAAAATGACTTCCGCGCATTTGAAATAAAATCAACTTTATTGGGGGAAAAAACCTTTGAACAAAAATCTCAATATAGTATGTTGCAAGCAAGAATTAATAATCATGCACCTATCAACAATCATTATACCTAAGATAAATAATACCAATTAGAGGCTGCAAAAACATTAACAGAGATTAATTCCGCATTCGAGAGAGTTAAATACACAATAATCCAGTGCAGATCTACTATCACAAATCCATTCTTTACTATTGCAAAAATGTTTATTTTTGGATCTCGTGAAAAGTAAGCAACTGGAGGATTTTACATAACGTACACAGAAAAGGACAAAGCATGCCACCCCCCCCCACTGAGCTTAATAAAGTTAACTCCCCACCTCCTACTGGCTGATGAAAAAAATCTTTTCAAAAAGATGTGCCAGTTACATGCTGAGCGGATGGCAACACAATCAGTGCTGAGGATATATACTGGCATAATGAGGGGAGAGAAAATCATTATTCATAGTGGAAGCAAGACTGTCCCTCTGCTCCCCTGGTGTCAGACAATGATGAGAGAACTTCAGGTAGCCCACATGACTGAAGCCAGCAAGTACTTTGATGAGGTACCTTCCTTTTCCAAACTTGAATTAAAGTGAAATGCAGAAACTACGTTTTTGTTTTTCATTTTAATCTGTATAAATTGCAACTGTAGCTGGTCTCGGAAAAGGTGCCCAGCAGCTTGGATGAGGGAAGGCCCTTTGCTATCAAATATAAATATAAAAGGCACAAAGCCCTGCTAGGCTATAACAGACTCCCATTGTAGCTGTTGGACCATTGTCACAGTCCCCCTAACTAAAACAGCATTATAATACAATGGCAAGTGTGAACTCTTCTGGGAATAATGCCTCTAGCAAGAGAGATCTAATTGTACTTTAGAAATCAGTAAGCTTGCTTATACACTTTTTCTGCTCGTTGGGCTTACAAACCAACTGGACTAAAAACTGCTGCCAGTGTTATACCAAGTCTTTCCCTAGAAAGCTCCAGAAGTCAATGCAAAGCGCTCTCCTTTGAGACGCACTAGATTTATCCTGGATCTGTGCGGCACCGGCCTGCTAATTCGCGTGGCAACACTTCGCGCTGGTCACTCCACTTACTCATTCTTCTTGAGGACGGGCCCCCTCAGTTTGCTCTCCAGCCCCCCGAAGAAGCCTTTGACATTCTCCGTCTTGGCAGAGGTGTTCTTGAGTAACCGCTCGGCGATGTCCTTCTTCCCGGCGAGCCACGTGTTGGCCGACTTCAGGTAGGAGTCTATCCCCGCTGCAGGTTTCTCCAGCAGCTCGGTGGGGGAGAGCTGTACCTTCCCTGGAAGAAGGAACAACGGAGCTGTCAACCGCACACTTCCAGGGTAGAAGAGGGAAACGGACATCGGCTCATCTTCAAGGTTCTAGTGGAAGTGCTTACCTGTGATGTGGACTGTATGAAATAATTCATGGAATATGTTAACATGTTAACTGAGCAGCACACTGCCTGTATCAGCTACCAAAAGGCCTCAGGTTCTGTTAAAGTGAGATAAGAACTGACTTTGCAAAAACAGCAGTAATTGGTTTTACTCCTAATGAAATTAGGAGCAGACATGTTCAGCTTCAAATGAACCACATGAAGCTGTACTGTATAAAAGTGCAGGGAGACCTTAGCTGTCTTGTCTGCCTTGTGGGTCAGTCTTCACACTGCTTTCTGTGTTCATTGAGGCCGTCTCCTGATCTTGTGCTGAAGAACCTCCCACAACAAGGGGGCTTTGTTCAACCCACAGACCATAAATTCAAAAATACCAAGCCAAAACAAATTTGCTAGCTCTTAAGTAACTGAGGTAATTAAAACTGGATTCATTCAAGATGCATTGGAATCAGGAAACACCTTTCAGAACACATGGATCCTTAAGTAAAGGAGTTTATTTCATATAACCGAACATTCTCAGAATTCTTCATTTTTTGTTCACATTACATTGAACCATAACTAAGTGTTCACCATCAGAAATTAAAAGCAACAGAAGCAATGTCATGCTGCATGTTAACGGTTGCTTCAAAATGTACCAATCTGGTAATCAACAACAGAAAAGAAAGATGATTCAACCAATGATTCATATTAGAATGACTGGCATGTATAAAGAATCAAACATGTTTTATTTATTTCCAGCCCTCCAATGGGATTTGCTTGATTGCCACTTTGCAAAGCATCTTTTAAATTGCCTCTGCATGTCATATTAAAAAGACATTTAAGTACGTATTCTAATATGCTCTAACATTTGACAAGGACTTTCAAAAGTTGTTCAGTGTATTTGGACCCTGTAATATCAAATACTCTGATCTTACAATAAAGCAGAGACACTGCTCATAACAGGGAAAACCTCAAAGCACTCAGCAGCTGTCTCAGGAGTCTGCAGCTTCAGAGGAAATGTCTTTTAGCAAACAGCCTCCACAAGCACAAGAGGACAAATCTCTGACCTGAAAATATTTACCGTTCTCTGACAGTAATTTGAATCTGTCAAAATTTTTAATTTTTTTAAAATCTCTTAACAAAAAGGGGGAAAAGCTATGTTAAACCTGATCAGCTAAAAATTAACTCAAGTTGCAGCTTCCTCCAAACTCAACTCTTGGCGTCTTACCTATGTAGTAGTAAGTGAAGCACATGGTCATGAGATTTTTGGCAGGAGGGTAATCATCCATCTGATAGCACCTGCAACAGAACACATGTTTGAATTCGTGCTTATCACAGCCTCCCTGAAAACAAGGGGAGGAGACATTTCTCTCTGCCCTTGATAGGTCTTCAGCTGTCACTGTTAACACCAGCTAACGGTCAACTGACATCCCAACATGTGCCTTAAACTGATTGGCAAGCCTTTGCAGTTATGAGCTACGATAACAAAATGTCTCAAGTGCTTTAACAGTGGCAGGCCCGGGATTGTTTAAAACAGGAAATTCTCCAGGGGACAAACAGTAGAAAAGGCTTGAAAAAGAACACTACAAGGAGACCCAATTCAAGTATCCAAGATCCTCAATGAATCCCAGTGACTTTCTGGATCAACAGTGAAACAAACCAGGGGACACAAATGGAAACTAATAGCGCATTTCAAACCAAGGAGGCAACTTTTACCAGGTCATGTTGTTGAGAACAATAACCTGGAATGACCAATCACATGCATCCAATTAGCTACAAGCAACCACAGAAGCAAGATGGGCCACATGGCTCTCTATCATTTGTAATCTTTATGATTATTTACTCATTCTTTTGGAGAGCAGTTTAGTACATCAGACTTACAGCTATTTATTTTTAATCTGTTTAATTGATTACAACCTGTATTACATAGTTAAAAAAACTTACTTTTATGCAATTGATTTAATTATTCTAATAGCAAGGCATACTGCACGTTCACAAAAGGTCATGTGCCTTAAAGCAGACACAATCACAATCCAAAAGTCTCCTAGTCATTTACAGGTGGAAACTTGTGTGAGCATCATGGTGGTCCTGATCTGCCATTTTATAACTAAGCGAGTTAGAGAATACAGAATTACACCTAAGGAGAAGTTCTCAGTTTAGCTGCAATCTCAAGTCCCTAAAAGGTCAAAATTGTGTTTTTTAAAATAGTTTTTACACGGTCAGGGGTTTGGTGCAGCACAGAATCACAGGTGAATTCCTTAAATCCTAGGTTCCCTAGAACCGTTAGCGGCCTATTCGAATCAGCTTGCAATTCAACAGGAACACTAACCACTCTACAAGAAAAACAGCGCCCTGACAGCTGCTTCCTGACACAACTGCTTTCTCACGGAGTGTGGATTGCAGATATTTTTCCTTACAATTAAAACTGATAGGAGGCTTTCGCAGCCAAACAGATGTCTCCACATCTTGCATCCTGTTGTTTCAAGTCAAAAACTGCATTCATGGAACAAACGGGAATAGAATAAAATCCTCTCACATTACACAAGTCTTGTGGTGTGTTCAGCTAACGTTTGACTAATAATCATTCCAGCACTACAGCTTTAGAAGTGGAGGTGCTGGAATCAAGTGGTACTATATGCTAATTTCTATTTTAATTACATCCTGTTCCACCGCATTTGAACTGCCGAGATGATGTACAACAAACATGACAGGCACAAGACGATTTCTATCGATTCCATCTTGATGACATTCAGGGGCTTCTATTTTAAGCAGACCCAGGGACAAAATGCAAGTTAATGCCTGTAATTAATGAACAGCAGGCTGAAGTGTGTGAGTCACACTGCTGCTGCTGCAAAAAGAAGACCAGGCAATATACTTCTATTGAACACTGGAGCTAAGTATGAAAGATATCCACCTAACGATGTAGCACAATTATCATCCATTTATGCATATCTAACCACTCTATCCAATACAGGGTGGTGGGGGAGCAGGAGCATATCCCAGCAAGCAATGGGCACAAGGCAGGATACACCCTGGATGGGACACCAGTCCGTCGTAGAGCACGCTCAAACTCACACCAGGGCCAACTTTCTCAGAAGCTCATTAAACCACCAGTACAACGCGTCTTGGGATTGTGGGAGGAAACTGGAGCACCCAGAGAGAAACTATGTGAACACAGGGAGAACACAGACTCCACAAAGATAGCACCTCAGGAATTGAACCCAGGGCCACAGTGCTGTGAGGCAGCAATGTTAACTACTAGGTTAGTTTACCTAATTACTGCTGACTAATTAAGCAAATAAGCTACAATGCTGCCCATGGAAAATTATCATACATGTTCTTTTTCAAGCCAAGATATTTTATGGCATTTTTTAAACACTAATAATTCCTTACACTTACATAGCGCAGTTCTGGACTTTGTACTCAAAGCGCTTTACAGTTAACAGAGACTTTACCATGACTGGTTAAGGCCAGGGAAACATATGGCGAGGACACTGGGGTTACACCCCTACTCTTTCAGAGTAAACCACTGGATTTTTAATGACCACAGAGAGACAGGTTTTACATTTCATCCCAAGGACAGCGCCTTTTTTTAATTAAGTGAACTGGTGACACAGAACCAGCTGGAAAATAAGGTAAATGCAGTTTCATTTTCCATTATACAGAATCTTTCTGCCTGTACCCATACTTTGTTTTGAAAGAGCCAACCTGATTTGAGTGCCCAACCCCCTTCCTCATAGGATGGACAGTTTAAAGAAGCCGACTAACCTATGTAACAAGTTTTTCTGTGGTGCTGTACAGAGGGAGAATATGTGTCCCGTGTTCTTTATTGCCATGTTGCCGAACCACAGGCTTCGTCCCCCTTTCCTGCACACAGTAGCCGACAGGACTATCCCCTGGCAAGCAGCTGTTTCCTAATGACCTCTGCAATAAGCCTTTACAATGTTCCTGCAGTTTAAGAATGTCCATTCGTTGGATTACATATATATTTTATCCTCCCTAATACTTTTCATGCTTTCAGCCCAGGGCCCTCTTAAGTGCAGAGCCAGGCCTTATGTTGAGCTCTAAAGATAGTTTTAGTTCAAGTTGGATGTCTTTAGATCTGTCAAAACAATGGCAGGAGCGCAGACCCACCATGATCATGGCGAAATAATGTGCCTCCCCCGTGACACCTGGGCAGCCAGCAGCAAGCGGATGTTGGAAATGCTGTGCTGCGACTGTTGTCATGAGAAACGTGGTGTAATGGCAGTACTGGAAAATGGAATCAGATCAAGTCTGTTGGGCAAGATGGAATGTGCACTAGCCTCTATTCCATATCCTTCCAATAACACAGGGGTGTGCTGTGGTTTACCCGTGTTCATAGAGAAATCCCATCTGTTCCCTTAGTGCAAATATATTATTCTAATGACTTTTCTTATCGTTGCTCTGCTAATTATCCATCCCTATGTTTATTTTTTATTTTTTTACAAGATGAACATCAAGTGCACCTTACATACACTTCTCAGATTTTCTCAATAAAATTACACTTTGAGCCCTGTAGGGCTTTTTTGTTTTTTTGGGTGAAAGCTGACTCAGACCCCTAAAAGAGAACTTGCAGAAACAACCTCATAATTGTTATTTGCTTTGCTGCCTGAGCTTTCTGAAAGGCTGTTAGTTTTCCCTTCGAAACCCTTTTCCCAGTTACTGGAATAGGAGCGCGAGTGGCCCAGCTGCATTTTCCTTACTGTTGAGGGGGGGGGGGGGGAGTTTGGAACTTACTCGAAGAGAACGACTGCGAAAGACTGCACGAGCCTGTAGAAGGTTTGCTCCGAGACGCATTTTGAATGGCAGCGCTGCAAAAAGGAAAAAAAAATGTTCTACAGCCCCATCTACATTGTTTATATGCATAAATAACATCTTCTTAATAATCCACAGTATTCACAAACCAGAGTGAGGCACTAAGGCATTCATTAGCTGAACAGCAAGAACAATACATACAGTAAGAGAGTGTAATGATTCATGATGTAAGACTTCTTACCCCTGACTGTCTTTACTTCCCATCTCCTGACCTGTGGAGAACAATACTGCGCAGTATATCAGGAGACTGAATTTCAGCACAAAGCTGACACACTCAGTATGCCATGTATCCATACCCTAGGGCTCTCTGGCCGAATGAAACGCCATTTCAGAAAATGCTCAGTATGCTGAACAACAGGACAGAGCAGAACAGAGGTCTGCCTTTACAGACACGTGGGTTACAGGTCTGGTTCTTCTGTAACAAGATGCCGCCGCATTTTCTAAGCGTATGCATCCCCTTGCAAAATTTAATTTTGTTAGCAACAGAGGTCTCTCACACTTGCTCCATTTCCCCAGCTTTGTACAGGAAATGTTATCCGATGTCAGCAGCAGTCCTTATATGTTTTGGCTTCAATTTCTATGTTTCATTTGTTATACCTTAATATTCATTACTGTAAAAGATACCCTCCAATCTCAATTTCTCTACATTGGCTATCCCCAGGCTCAAATATATTTACTCTGAAATGAGCTACAGTACATCCCATCAGCCAGCAATGAAGTAGCTGAAACTGGCATGGCCCATAATGAGACATCGGTACCCAACACATTAACAGAAGCTAGCTCAACAGAGTGACAATATGTGCACACATCACAAAGCGCAGATTGGAGAATGCACAAGCACAGCAGAATGGCAGTGCAGTGCAGATCAAGTTGCCTAATGCAGAAAGCATTATACCATGGACACATGGTACTGTTGGAAAAGAGGACAATTCTCCTCTTTAGGGGTGCTTATGGGGGTCACTTTGCACATCATCTGTTACAGTAGAAATTTGAAACCAGGGTGTGAAAACAGTGAATCTCCCTGGAAGTTGCAGACTGCAATTTGCAGTACGGTGGCCACATTTCCCTGCTTTTACTACAGCTTAATTTCAAGAGGAACGGACTCTTACCTGAGCGCTGACGTATTTGGAGAACCACTCTCTGCCTTTCCCATTGTCCCCGCTGCACAGCTCCCCAAAGCGTGCCTTCTCTTCCTGTTCAAACTCATCCCTGGGAAGACAAGGATGCATCTCAAAGCGTCAGGCACTATCCGATTATTTCGGTGAAATGATGATTTGCTTAAATGTTTTAAAAAAACCACAAAACTTAAAAACAAATTAAACTGAAGATAACAAACTACCCATGCTTAGTTGATGTTAGAATTGTTAGGTTTTTTAAAGCACAAACAATTGTGGCAAGTTTTCAAATGCTCAAGAATAATGTAGTCCATCCTAAAACAAAATTTGTAAATAAAAACAAAAAAGCGATTACAAATACTGAAATTTATGATAAACGTCACTCAATAGATTACAGCTGGATGCAAGGTCATAAAAAAGCCCAATAAAATGCATATTACATCTGTTACAACTATCAACTGTTGGGATCAGTAGTTGATTTCTACAAAGATTTGGGAGAAGCTGTACGAATGCCTCATTTTCATTTTTAATAAATGTAACCCTTATATAAAAATAATATTACTAATGTTAAGTAGTGTGCATTATGACCAAGGTACAAAAATGGTAACAAAAGGCAAATAAGTGATTGTGTAAAAGTGTTTCAGGTACCCTGTTCCCCTCAGGAATGCAGCAATAAGATGATGTACTGTAGCTGCCAAAGCGTCTGTAGCAGCAGATGATGTGGCTTTCAAAAAGTATCCAAATCATCCAAAAAGTAGGTCAGCAACTGCAGTTCTGAGTATGCAAGTAGCCCACACAAGCATTGAGATACCTCACTGCAGGTCCAGTGAGTGAACTCCAGCACCAGGAACATAACTAGTGTCAATGTGGAAGGTGTTTAGATCACAAAACCGCTGGAAGAACCTCTGACAAATTTCTACATCATAACTGACTCCTTCTTTCTTGCCAAACTGTAATGTCACATACAGTAGGTATACAACCATATAATGGCTAGTATATACATGCGCTACAGTATTAGATCACGAAGTCCAGCACACAGATCTTCAAGCAGACCTAAATTTTAACAAAGCAACAGAAAACGAAAAATACAATGTTCCTTGCTGCTGCAACTGAAAATACAGTAATAAGAAATATACAGTTTGGTGGAGTGATGCTGAGTCACAGCTGCTTAATAAGAAAACACACAAACACCTCTTGAGAAATGCATATAGCTTCCTTTAAAAACTCTGAAGTTACCTGAAGTGACCCCCAGGAGGGCTAGGCCTCTTTTCAATCACAACCTTCACAGTCTTTAGAAAACCTCCTAAGGAATTGTTTTCCTTCCAGCAACTCATTCGGTCATAACAGTTACACTGACACCCTCACAAGTCCAGCTCATTAAGCCCTATCACAACTTGAGTCCCAAATGCAACCTGACACACATTTGCTCAGCATACTTCCATATCACAGATTTTTCCTTTAAGGAAGCCAACTGACCTTTTGCTGAATTGGGTATTATCTCAGAATCCTTCACAAATGTCAGAATTCATTACCCGGGAAGCCCTTCACAGGAGACAGCATCCCCCCCCCAAACATGCTATGCACACAGCTCTTCTCCACAGAGCCCTGAGAGGAGGTGGCCCAGTGCAGAGGCTCATGGGTAATGCCAGTCCAGGTCTTAAGGGTTTCCTATGGCTATTTCCAGACTTCCAGATCACTGGCAATTCATAACTACATATTACACCGAGAACAATAACTGGTGAACTTAACTACAGTGCATTACTGTCAAGACAGACATGCAGAGAGCACCAGCAGACTGAGCCGTTAATGACAACTAAGGTTCTGAAGCCCCTCTGAAGACAACTTCACTCTTGGAGAGCCACAGGCTTGCAGGTTCCATAGGGAACCCGAACGTGAGATGTAGAAACAGTAAGTGCACCTCTAATGAATTAGATCTACGAGTTTCATTAAGTCGTCAACAAAGCGGGTGAAGCGAAAGACCGAGTGCTTCAATCTGGAGCCAGGTGAGAGGATCATTATCCAAGTCTCTTCCTAATGTTCTTGCTTTTGCAAAACTGTGGTCATCTGCCACTACTCATATTTTCACCCAATCATGAAGGAGACATGTATGTAGATGGTGAGGTATAAGTTTAACTGCAGCTTTGCCATCACTTTTGATTGGATGCTCTCAGTTTTTTTTCCCCCCAAGTGCTAAAGGTGCTTACGAGATGTGAACATGCTCTGTACCACAACATTGAGGCCAAAGAGAACATCATAAAAATTAAGACAGATTCTGAAGAGAAACTGAAAAACCCTTCTTCAGAATAACAACAGATGGCCGATGAAAGGAATAAAATGCTGAAAACCAAACCAAGTAAGACAGCAGTCAAAGCACTGAATTTGCAGTACATAAACCAGGCACTATCACATATATATTAAATTTAGCATGAAGGATATATTTCCAAGGCAATTCACAGAATCCATAAAGGAAAAATGGAGTGCTTGGATACATACAAAAGGGCACAAGATGAAAACCAAGAGTGGTGCAACTATTTATGTCCCCAGTAGAGTGTTAGATTTCTCATTTGCAAAAAGTTTTACAAAGCCATCCCGAGGTGTCGGTACCATGAAATGCAAGAGAGCTTTTGCTTGAGGTTTTAAAACTCTTACAGAGTTTGAGCTCTTTCAGATTAAACTTCAGCAAGATGAACTTCTCACCTCACTATCAGAAAACTGTTTTTTTTTTAATTCACCAAACACATTACTAGACCATGCTGGCTTTAACCCAATAAGCTTAGGAAATTCATAGGGACTGGAGTCAACAAGGTGCTTCAGAAAACCAACAACATTGACATAAGCACGAAGTAATGATGCTGCTCACAGCATCTTCATGTAGAAGCATAAATTAGCAGAATGATGAATGCTGAGGCTCTAGCCCTATCCTCTATCCATTCTAGACATCCATCTAATTCACTAACTCGAGAAACGGCACAAACTGTGGTGAAGGAGAGCTGAAGGGATCTGGACAACATCTGGAAATGGACCAACGCTGGCAAATGAGGTCAACGGAAATATTTCACGGAAATGATTCTTACCGCCCGTGAAATATTTTCTCCACGTAGGCTTTCATGAACTCGCGGCGCTCGGCCGACTCGGCGTCCTCCGACTCGGCGCTCTGGCTGGAGGAGAAGGACTCGTTGGAGGAGGAGCGGCGGGAGGCGCTCCAGTCCCCGTGCGAGGGGGAGTCGGTGGCCTCGTTCTCGCTGTCGGCCGACTCGGTGGCCTCGCTCTCGTCGCCCGACGGGTCCTCGCCGCCTTGGCTCTGGCTCGGGACCCCGCAGCCGGCGCTGGGTTCGGCCCAACAGGCCTCCGAGTCCAACCGGCCGTCTGAGGCCAGGGCCGTGTGCTCCGTCACCTCGGCAACGGAGGCCCCCACCTGATCGGGCCACGAGGTGTTCGAACCCAAGGCCGGCACTTCGTCAGGGGCCACTGCTTCCCTACCCAAGAAGTCCAAGCCAAAATAATGGGCGCTATGGCTAACTGGTGCAGCGGGTGGCGACTCCACCAAGCAAGGTTCCGCGTCGAAGTCTATCAGGGTGCCTACAGCAACATCTTTGCCTTCCATGATGGCAACGGCTATGAAATAAAATGAGCAGCAGGGATAAAATTGTTCAACGGTTTTGAGCACAAAGGAAACAGCAGGTTGTCACTGGATCATGCTGCCACAGTGCTTTATCTTCGGGCGCCTTTCCCCCAGCTGTCTCATCGTGGGCGTGGTCCCTGAAAAAGGGCAGATAAAAAAACAGTGAGCTTGACAGAGGCCACGGCATTAAGAACTTAACACTCGAGATTAAAGAGGCAGCAATGGGCAGAATGCAACCCGGGTGAGGCTGGTATATATTGCCATTCATGAAGTCACTTGAAATTTCCCCGCAATAGCCATTTCCAGAAATGTGGTGCGCTGCCTGTATTGGATTGCACAATTCAGTAATAAGACATTGTAGAATCTTAAATGTAACAGATCACGCAACTTTCCTAAAAAAAAAAGAACTCAAATCGCTCTTACACATAGAAAAAATGAAAAAAGTTCTGGCTCTAGAAGGCCACAGCATTTGCCTGTGTTTGTTACCAGTTAACTACTTAACAAATGTAAAAATGTGCAGAAGTGGTTTCCATGAAAGTTTCCATGCGTAAATGAGAACAAACATCCATTCGACACCAAGTTCAGTAGACATAAAACATTCAGGGGTCTGTAAAGAACAGTCAACAAAATAGATCTGAGAGAGTAACATTTCGATCAGCCAGCACAAAAGCAGAAGTTGAACCCTGAACTTGAACTCGATACCCTAACCCAGCTATTTAGAGAAAAGCTATATGAAAACATCAGCCGTTGATCAGCAATTAGGGCTACGATTTTAAAATGGAAAAACCTGTCCTTTCTAGGTATTTTGAATTGCGTTTTCCCCAGTCACCAGTCTTGCATGGGTGAGGAGTATGACTCAGAATGCAATTATCGCCGATCAGCAGCAGAGGACATTTTCTATAAGGCAAGTGCCTCCCTTGTGAAACGGCCACTCCTGAAAATGTGCTGAAAGGGGCGACTCTCATCTGTGAAAATGCTGCAGGACTGTAAAATGAATTTGCAGAAAGCAAGTGGCAAATAGTAACACAAGGATGGGAGATGTGGCAATTTCAGCTTTTGAAACACTTCTGAGCTTCAGGGAAAATTCAGACTGAAACAGGAACGAATATGAAGAGGGATGGGTGTGGAGACAGCAGCTGGGATTGCTAAATAAATAGCCTGCAGAGTGGTCTGACCTTTTGATAATAACGGGATATTAGAAGAAAGCTGAGGTTACTACACTGTAATTTTAGAAGAATCATGCATTATCCAACCCGAGAACTGACAAGAAAATGAACCTCAGACTGGATTCTATATCTCTTAATCATGGAAGGAGGTGTTGTGCCCTCATTAAGATCAGCATCTGGTAAAAAATTAACACTTAATTGCTAATTATCTATGTAAAAAGATGGCCATCTCTCACATGATAAATCAGTGAATCAGTGAATCGAGGGGGCTAGCATTTCAAGCAACTACTGTCCAGATTGAATTTTCTCAGATTTGTAGTGTAATTGAGTTTATTAGACCAGTGTGTCTGTCCTTCAAAGTCTTTAAAATAGAAGCACCTGAAGAGATGGTAGCAACATTTTAATTGGGGCAATTCATCTAATAATAAAGTAGTTGGATTAAAAATCCAGCTGTAGACACATTGGCCCTCGAGGACATGGACTGGACAAAGGCACCCTGTCTTTGGTCATTATAGGATCAGCAAATAAAAAAAGATTAAGTACATAGTTGGTGATTCCCACAGGGACTTTCAGCAGCATTTAATTAACATGCACAAACACCCCAGGAGTGTAAGAGCAGACAATGTCAGTATCGGAGAGAGCTGTGCCAATCTCATCTCAGCTGCTATGTTTGCACTATGCACAAGCACTGTAACAGGAACTGAATGGTTTGATATTTTACGTTATGAATACGCATGCAGAACATGTCGTCTTTAGCTCTTCCAAGCTTGCGTGGGAGTTGTATTATTAAGCCAGGCTGAATTTGTTAGTAATAGGTAATTTACTATTGGCAGAGCATAACAAATGGATTCTAAAATTGAAAAAAAGCCATACAAAAGGATGAGATTTCTCTAGGCACAAAACAACCACACACAAAATGCATCGACTTTTCTATAAACTTAGTTGTAGCTGAACAGACCAATTTAGGTCTTTCAAGGCAAAAAATACAGAGGAAATAAAGTTTTGCAGGTGGGGTGGGTGTTGGGTTGAAGATTAAGTGGGGCGTGAATTATAGTGTGTATCTGCTTTCCAGATCTACAGGAAACCTTTTTCCTGAACTCTAAACCATCTGTGCGGAAATTCAAAGTACATGACCAGTCTTTGCATAATGTATACAACTAAAGGAGCTAGCTACAATTGCATCAGAGTATTAGAGTGCAACAAGTATCGGGAATTAAAGAGAGCAACACAGGTTACGCAACAATAAAAGTCCTAGATTACCACAGTACTGTTTACATAGCATGCACCCATTTAATACAATACACTTTAAGGCAAAGAAAACACCACTGCAATATACTGCAGCAACATTCAACATCAGGTATTTGATCTCATCCACAAAAGCATACTGTAGCCACTATAACCCCTGAACCGCAGCTTTATACCATCACAAAGTAAAGAAAGGTCACAGTGGCCACTCTGCTCCTTTGATTGGTAGTAGTTTGTTGATTTAAAAAACTCAACTAGTTTCTTATAACAGCTTGGGCCACATAAATAGGGTGTGTGTGAAATAACTACATCTTGCGTAAAAAAGGAGAATTGATTTGTCTGATAATCTATGCATCTTCGTATGCACTCTCCTGGCGTCTTCACCTTATTTTCAGGATGTCTGAATACATACTATACACTATACAAGGGTTCTAAGGAAAGGCTCTGAATTGGCCACAGTCCCTGTGTCCATTGACCCTCATTTCCTAAAGGCAAACAGGTTTAATATAAATTCAGCTATTTAGGAAATGTCTACCATACAGTAGACCTTACAGTATTTTGGGAAATTTGACTTCAGACTCCTTGTAAACTAACGCACTATTACACACATTTACCCGACAGAAAGCTGTATACTAGATGCCAGACACCTCCAGTTCTACTTTGGTGTTCAGACATTAGGAACAATCCTAATTTATTTAGATTTAATTGGCATGTACTGATCAGAAGAAAGCTAGTCTTACAATAGGCAGGAATACGTAAGCTCCATCAACCCTTGTTTTAAAAGCCAATGCCATATCGCTTTGGCTTGAAAGAATCGACAGGAGCCAAAATGGGCTGGACAAGTCCGCGGAGGACTACTAGGGCGAAATGGAAAGCTCAGCTCTCACTTGAAAGAAAGGGGAATCTTCCAAAAGGAGTCATAGCCTTTCTGAAAGGTCTTTTGTGGAAATCAAGCCACAGAAGGAAATAACAGGAACTGATCTAATTACTGTATCTGCAAGCTTGAATTTCAATTGCGTGTTTAATAATGGGGCTTTACAGTATGTGCAGCAAACAAATTTACTTTGCACAATATTGCACAACTCGCACTTGTGGCAGTGTAGACACACCTCCTGTATATTATGAATTGTTTCCGAAAGTGGATGAGAAGACCATGAGAGATTTCTTCCATTTTAACCATCTATTACAGGTAAGTGCCTGCAAACTCTGCATGGCTTTCTCATCAGCACCCTATGAAACTCATTTTTTCTTCTTTCAACAGTCCCTTCAATTCTAGCATCCTTTACTGAGACTGAGTCATATGCCTTTGTTTTTATTTTAATACAATAGTCACTACTTCACTCATTTCTCCTAGGTCTTACAAATCAAACACAGCCAATACAGTAGAGAAATTCGGAATGCAGACCACAATGAGAGAAAACATTTGCAATGCAACCCAACACGCCAGTATGAACGGCGGTCTTCTCTTCCTCATAGTCTTAAACTGAAGCAGCTTAAAAAAGAAAATCGACAAACCAGAGTGAGTTAAAAGCAGTGCTATACACTATAGCTGGTACACTATATCCAGCCACCTCTCTCTTATGCTTCTGCCAGGTGTACAGCCTGTCAAATGGATATACACCCACAGTGTCCTTTTAACCTCAGTATGAGCCGAGTTGTGCCTCATGTGAAAGACAATCCAATCTCTTCAGGTCGTGTTATGATCAGTCTAGCGTGCCAAGGCCTCCCTCACTCAGTGATCCATCCCGCCAGCCAGCTTTCGATCACTACCTTAGGGCTTGACAGTTGCTGAAGATATATTGGGAGTTATTAAATGAAGAGCAATAAAACTGCAATCCATAAGAGAGCCAGTAAGGGAGCCCTTCCAAACAGCAAGGGCAAATCAACTCCCCATCTCATCTACAGTAACTACCTGGCTTTCCTACAGACATGGGAAGGGAATATTTACACCTCCGCGGACTGCAACACCCTCTTGGATACCCTAGAAATAGTAAAAAACAAATTGCTAGTTATAGTGAGGCAAGAGAATTAAAAATGTGATTCATATTCTCTGTGTTCTAACACCCCAGGTAGAAGACCTATAGAGTGATTGCAAAACGCAACAAATACATTTGTTTTGGAAAATTCCTTCTTCTCCATGACAGTCTGTGGTCTCAGAAACGGGTGAGGTATAGTTTCTGTTCAAACCTAATTTTACAGAAAGTAAGCCAGCGTCTCAGCCATGACAATGAAAATCCCTGTCACCTTTAAACACAATACAAAGCTAACAAGCATTCACGCTGCTTCACAAGCTGTGACAAATAAGGCGCACAGAATGTAATCCAGGTCAAAGTGCTCTCAAAATGAAAAACACCAAAGCGTGTGCTGTGACCAAGAAAGAAAGTAGAGTTCTCTACTCCTCACTGCCTGCCACTGGGAATCTGCTCTTTTCGGGACATTCGGAATGCATCCCAAACCACAAAACTCAAGATGCACCAATCTACACAAAGAATGCAAACATTCTTTAAATGAAGCAAACATGCTTAAACACAGGAACCAAGAATTACTGAGATACAAGAGAGATGCAGCTGGAACTCAGCCCAGTTCAGGTTGACCAAGCATCACTTCACAAGGCAAAAGGTACATTAACACTAACAGACGAACAGGCATCCAAGCATGTGGGTCAATGTTCCAGCCGGCAGTCACAAAAGCCCACACAACCACATCCACGCCGTGCCAAAATCATA